TGTAGCAAATTTCTAGTATTTTGGATGACAGTTCTTTTTGATGACATTTTAATCTATTGGTGCCAATATCCTAGATGAAAATAACATCATTTTTTTGAAATGACAATCTTTCGTTACCAGTAATGCACAAAATGGATCCCCCCAGTCTACCACCAAACCCCTCTCCAAGTCTCAACCTCTCCTGAGACCTGACTGTAACATACAGAGTTGGGTTTTGTTTTGGGTTTTTATTGTTGTTGTTTCGCTAGTAAATAAGAAAAGAAAGTGACTATGATTATGGCTAATTTAAGAAAATACTAATAGTGATTGTGATAATTATAATAATTTTTTTTAAATAAGCAAGTTTTGTAAGATTTTGGAAGCCTATAGAATTGGAGGAAAGTTGAAATCCTAGTTGCCAAAGAAGTCACAACACTAGACAAGTCAGGAGCTAGAAATAAATCTCCGCAAGATGCTAGTATGGGGATAATTCATCTCTAACTGCTCCCATTCTTTGTTTTTCTGCTTAAAATCCAATTGCAGGGAGAGTGCACTCAGCCTGCCTTGGGGTTACATTCTCACCTCTTAACTAATGAGTGGTTTTCCCCTTGATCAACTGGCCCGTGAAAGACTTCAACCAGTGGGAGATGGTAGTTCCCTAAAGTGGACTAGGACATTGGTACCCATAGAAAGTATATTTATGTCTGCTTAGCTTTTAAAGGCAACAGTTGTCTACAACACAGAAAATGCTATTATCTCTCTGACCTTGCCTATTTCCAAGCTTATCTTTGTAATTGGATGTGGTTGTCTGCTTTACAAATGCTTGAAAAAATTATGTGTGTGTATATATATACATTTTATTATGTGTGTATGTGTTTTAAGTTGAAAGCTTAATGATACTTTTTAAAACTACTTAAAGGGTCAGTGTGTCAAAATGGCTGCTTCTAGACCATATCATGTCAACCAGCGTGTCGCTTCTCATCACTATTTCTCATGCAGCTGTCGTTTTTAAGGTTCAAAGTCAAATTCTTCCTATCACAGAACATTTTCCGATTACTCTAGTACTTGATAATCTCTCTTTCCTTTAATTTCTTGTAGGCTATTTTTAAAACATAATTTAGCAATTATTTATATGTAGAGGAGTATATGTAGTACATATAATTCTGGTCTAGAAAAATAAATTTAAATCTTGCTTTTCTAATTGCTAGCTAAGGTTGGTCAATAACTTGAACTTTCTAAGTCTCAGTATCCTCATTGTTAAAGCAGATGAATTAGGTGATTTTTAAAAGCTGGTAACATTTTAGCAACTTCAGATAGCTATAATAATAAATGCTTTGTAATATTCTTTGCCCACACAATAAAAATTCCTTTTATATGAACTATTTAGTGAAACATTACAAAAATGTTAGAAAACTTACCAAAAATACTAGAGATTTATTTTAATAGCATAAAATTAAAAATAGCGTTTTTTTCCTCCAAATTTTTTTTTGTAACAAAAAGGAACCTATTCGTAGTTGAAAAAATGGAAATACCTTTATTAGTAATGTGATTATTCAGAGGCTTTCTAAAATTTTAAATTAAATTAAATGACCAATGAAATAAAACAAAAATATTGAGAATATGCTTACAAAGAAGTATAAAATTTGTTACTTCTCAGATAATTTTTCAGGTAGAAGTTTACATTTAAAAATAAGTAGACCAATGTAAAAAGTCTGCCAGTAAATTGGTGACATTTAAATGAGATTGTTCTTATTCTAATACACTATATACACTATATACTTGAGATGTGTCTAGCATCAACAATGATACATGTGTTACGATGTGCAATAAGATCTCTATAGTATTATCATGTTATTTATTTTTCCTTTTTGATTACGCCTTTTATGCATTTGTTGTTACTAAAAATCAAAATGTTTAATGTTTTAAATTTTGTTTTGTTTTAACAGACTATGTTATTGGAAAATACAGGTCTTATAAGATATGATGAATTATTTTCCACATTAGTGAAAATGAACTATACACAACCAATTTCAGATGAAAATGTTACAGTGACAGATACAACCTTTAGTGACATTCCAGCATGTTTGCACTTTCCAAAGAGGAAGTCAAAAAGCCAGAGATAACTGTAATTTTTATTCACAGTGGTGTGTTTGCTTTGGGAAGTTGTAGTAAGTCCATTTTATATAAGCAGTGTGTGTGTGTGTGTGTGTGTGTGTGTCACATTATATATATTTATATTCAAATATATATATTGTGGATATATATATATTTATAATTGGAAGAACTTTTGTTGATATTTATATTTGTGAGTATCTGTATGTATCTAAGCAGAGAAATAGATTATATCAGTCATGTTTCACACATATTT